AAACTGCCCATGGACCCGACGCGGTATTTTAATGTCCACAAAGATCCGCGTGTACCGAGCATCCGTGCGGCCTGTTCCGCTATACGGGTGCGAATGATGGACTATGCGCCTGGAAAATAAACGGAAGCTGGAAGTCTTTGACCACTACTGCTTGAGGGTCATCCTTCGAGTGAAGTACACCGACTTCGTCTCAAATGACACAATCCGCCCTCGCTGTGACAAAATCACAAGGATATCCCAGGCCATTCAAGAAAGACGACTGAGGTGGTTTGGACACGTTTTTCGTCATCAACCTCAGGAGCTCAGTGTTACTATCCTCGACTTGAAACCGTTACCTAATTGGAAACGTCGAAGAGGGGGTCAACTCCAAAACCTGGCTCGACTCAGTTAGTCAGGACATGGATGTGGTTCCTGGACCTTCGGTCTCCGGCGCTGGCGAAGAGAATGGCTCGAAGTGTCCAGGTCTGCAGCCACGAATCGTCGCGCGTGGAGAAGCATCGTACGGGACATCATTGAAGCCGTCTAGATCAGTCATGATCGCAGCCGCAACAAGAACCAGTAAATACAAGACCAGAATCAGCGTGCAAACTGTTCTGCCTCATTAATTGTCCGACCTCACCTCGCCTGACAACAACGTAAACCACCTTTGAAACTGATTAGTACTGACAATAAAAAATGCTGCTTGTACGTAGATACGAAACAAAGGACTACATGGCTAAGCCCAACAAGCAACCAGCACCGGAAACTCGAATAGAATGTGTCGGAAAGGTTCATTTTTGTCGACCTGAGACTCCACTGTCCTTTAGAGGTGTAAATGAGCGAAAGCGAATTCAAAATAAAATTTATTAACAAATTCTGAAGGCCGCTGCTTGGAGGAATAAAAAGACATATAGTGCCTATGAATACATCAGACAAAATGGGACATGCTAAAATCTTGAATAATTAAAAAGCGCGCGAACCTGTGGGACTACCCAGCAGTTTCTATTAAGGATTTACGACGCATCCTTCGTCTCTTGCGCCTTGAAGGTCGGTACGATGGCAGTGGTTGCGCACGTGATACAGGAGTCCTACGGGCTTTCCGGGTTGCCGTGCCAGTGGTTTGCGGCAACTTGCCAAGCCTACCGATCCCCCTCCTTCTCTCCAGCCTTCAGATTGATCTGTTCGAATGAAGCCTGAAAGGCATCGCTTTCACCTGCCGTCTGTGAGCATACATATTAAAAGTGGCATGAAAGGCACTGGAACGGAAGAGGGCCATCGAGCTGACGCTAAGTCCTATCAAGGATCGATTTATCCCGTCGATTGGCAACCCTCCAAACCACGACGATCAGGGCGTCGTGATATATTCAGGCACACCAGATTTACGATAGCAACGAATGCGCTGATTTGCTGTAGGGATTAGTTGCGCCAGAGTTGGTCTTCCTCCACTCATCCTGTCGACTAGTAAGCCCTGCCAACCTGCCGGTGCAGTGGCTGACGCGACATGAAAGTCGATGTCTAAAGCTTACGGCAATAGTTAGGGACTTACGCGAACTCCACGCTGCGCGATAAAGGCGTGCTAGTCTGAGGTAGTCTGCCCCCAGTTTGATTGGGTACAGCTACACCACGGGGCCGTGCTGTGTGGGCCCTCTCGCTCGCTCACGCGCGCACATTCATACACACTGGATTGATCAGTTCTCTGCCATTCATTTCTGTCGGTAATACTTCTCAATGTGAGTACCGTCTGAAGATCTCTGGTATATCATCGGACCGCTTTCCACCTTCCTCCCTCTCTGGTCCCCTTTTTATGAATGCAATTTCACTCTTTGCCCCCTGAACACCTCTCCCCTTAACTTCTAATGATTGGCTGCTTAAAAGTTTTGCCCAATCTGTCCTCCCCTATATTATTGTATTTGCCCGGTGATTAATAATCTAAAACGTTCTTTTGCCGGAAGGCTTTTCAAATTGAGCCGCCATTTTTTCCTCCCTTCATTTCCATGTAAATTTTCTTATATATATATGCCGGTTGGCCTACTTCACCCATTATAAACCGATTCTTATCCCTCTTTTCTAGTTGAAGTACAATGCGGTCATGAGTGCACGAGGTCACGACGCTAGCACCGTTTTGAAAGCAGTACATTTTGGCCTATATTTGACGACCTTTCCAAGGACATTTACTCACAATGTCGAAAATTGCAGTCGTTGGAGATTATGGATTACTGTTGTTGTGGGTTTGTGCACCTAATTTTATTCCTTCTTACTGGAGGATGTTTTTCGCAGAAAATTTTGGAATTATATTTTCAAAATGAAGCGTATCTCT